GACGTTCATATAATATGGAACGAACTTCCTTACAGGTAAGTCGTTTGTTCCATTTATTATGTTTCACTGGTCTTTTCCAAATACTTGAAACACCCGGTAGACGTTTAAACAATAAATTCAAAGTGATCTCAGCATCAAGTTATTAACATTGAAAAGAAAATAAAGACATTATTATTACATATATTTTTTTGTGGTTAAAACTTATACCAATTGCATATGTTTTGCATAGCACAGTTTTTGTGATTAAAACTTATATCACTCGTGTATATGTTGTATATCACAATTTTTGCGGTTAAAACTTATACAACTTCAATATATTTTATATAGGACAGTATTTATGGTTAAAACTTATACCACCCGTTATACACGTTTGCTATTTAAAATGCATGTTTCAAAACATTACGAAATTTTGCGGTTAAAACTTGTGCCGCTGTATATTTGCAAGTTAAGAGTCATCTTCCAACCGATCCCTTACTTAATAATATCAGGGGGGTGCGAGCCGTTGCAAATTTCACACTTGATAGATAGATAGATAGATAGTTTATCTATTATAGTTTTGTTGTTAATAGACTTCAGTGCAAAGGGCGCCACATTACGGTTAGAAAAATGTTACTTGCAGAGGGCCAGGCCGTGCGCGTTTAAAAACTTATTTTTAGACTTTTTTGAAGAAGGAACATTTTAGGACAAAGTTAAAAATTTGCAGCAGGGATATATAGAATTAGATTTTCCAAATTATTTCTCATAACGACAAGATTAGCGCCTTAAAATACGTAATATTGTCACTTGTTTCTATCTTGAATAATAGCAATGTCTAAAAAAAATAATCATTTTGTTCTTATACATCCCTAGAAATAAGTTTTCTTTCATCACCTGCGCAAGCAGTTTTAAGTAATTTTGAAAAATAAAGTTGTAATTATTAGATAAAATTGTGGCACGTAAATATCGCAAAGAAGCTACTACCGGGTGTTTCAAGTATTTGGAAGAGACCAGTGAAATTATAATGAATATTTTAGTTATTGTAATATTTGTTGTGTTTTTTATTAGTCATGGTCCGCTGACTTTTCTTCATATTTTTAGATTATTTGTAAATATATATCAAGTTATGTACAAAGCTTGACATTGATTTTTCTGTAAAAAATATTATATCAAACTTTATCTACCGCCTTTCGGTTTTTATTGTAAATTTAATTATTTCCACAATTTATCATGTCAAATAATATAACATATTTTTTAAATACCATTTATTGGCAAATAAACCAAGTGAACTAAAATATATATTTTATAAGATCAGTCCATTACAATACATAATATTATCAATACAAACTAGAATAAAGATATATAATCGTGTCATTCTAAAATATACACAGTTTAACAACCCCCCCTTAACTCCCATTTTAAATCAGATTTTTTTTAGAATCAATAGGCTTCATCTCCTTATTGAGCTTGATTCTTTCCAAAAATTTCAAGTTGATGTTCGTTTTTGAGTTATAATATTTTTAAATATTTCAACCTCCCTTAACCCCACACTTTTATTCAAATTTTTTTCACAACAAATAGGCCTCATTTTCCTTATAGAGCTTGATTTTTACATAAAATTTCGTGTTGATTTCGCTTTTCATTTTTCATTTTTTTTTTTTCAATTTCAACCCTCCTGAAATATTAACAAAGCTAGACAAAGATTTGTCTTAATTTTGTCAGCTTTGTTAACCTATTCTGCATGCAGACAAATACTTCGTTTTTACTAGTTATTTTCTGTAAGCACTGCACTTGGTTTCAAATTTGGGCCAGTTTTAGTACATAGTTAACATAGTTATAAAGGTAGTTCAAAGCTATCATTTGTAAGATGCAGCGAACAAATACACGCTAAAACTATAGAAAACAAATCACAAAATTTATTATTCAAATTAAATAAAAATTTACAAATAAAATGAATAATGCACACCCCTATCAACAATTTAAAAATTAAATTGTAAGATATATAAACTTAGGGGACAGGAGCCAATAAAAAAGGAGCCACAATTTGTTCTGCATCGTCATCCAAGAGACATGTGTCTTCATACAATGCTTTTCAGATAAAAGTATCCACCTTAAGTAACTTTTGAAGGACTGATTATTACAAAAAAACAAAAAAATACGTCAATTAATATTCGAAGGGGGAGATATCGTGCCATATTTAAGTTTGCTAAAAAAGTCACCCTTTCACCCCTACTATCATCCCTTCAATTTTTTAAATGGCTTGCCCCATTTTTTTATCCATTTTTGGATTGCTCTCGTTTAAGTGATTTCAAAAATGTATAAAACATGGGGATTAAAGTAATTAGTTTACGATCTACAGAATTTTAAATTAAAATAAAATTGAATTGTGCAAAACTTTTATTTTAATGATTTTGTCACAAGCGTTTCCAATGACAAAACGAATATTTCATTTTCAAAATTTATTATAAAAATTGTTCAAAATGTCCACCATTTACTTCCATACAATGGTATAACCTAGATTGAAAAGCCTCCCTGACATTACCGAACACGTGTGCATTTAAATGTAGGCATTCATACTCTATTCTTTAAATAACTCCATAAAAAGAAGTCTAGAGGTGATAAATCCGGTGATCTAGGTGGCCACTCCATCATCGAGCCTCTTCTACCTATCCAACGATTGGGGAGTTTCATTTAAAAATTGTCGTACTGGCAAAGCAAAATGTGGAGGCGCTCCATCCTGTTGAAAGACAAGCAAATCTTCAGAAAGATTATGATAATTTTCTATTATTGTTGTAATACGTGGATCAATTACTTCTCTCAATAACTCAAGATATGACTCTCCATTTAAGTTTCCGTCTAAAAAGAAAGGTCCGACTATGTGGTCACCTAGGATACCACACCATACATTTAACTTTTGAGGATTCTGTGTGTGGTATTCACGCACAACATGTGGATCACTTTCAGCCCAATATCTGCAATTATGTCTATTAACTAAACCATTAACTGAAAATGTGCATTCATCCGAAAAACAAAGGTTGTGCAACAAATGTGGATTGTCAGTCAAGCGCTGACTCAATAGTTCACAAAATTCAAGACGACGATCAAAATCATCTTCATACAACTCTTGAACCAATTTAATTTTGTATGGATGGTACTTATGCTTGTGTAATATTCGATAAACTGTGGAAGATGAAATACCTACTTCTCTGCTTATTGTTGTCAGTGACTGTGCTTGTTGATTTTCAAGACTTACTTGTCCTAAAACTGCGACTTCAATTGCTTCGTTATTTACGAGTTCCAGTCGGTTATGTTTTTTATTGCCAACTGACCCGGTTCATGTAAATTTATGCATAAGATCAATTATATACTTATGAGTTGCATGACCTCCTTGGTGTGTTTCGTTGAAAATTCTAGCAGCAGCTCGTGCAGAACTGTTATTTTTGTAGTATAAACCTACCAGTTCAATTCTTTCTTGTAAACTGTAAACCATTTTCAAATCAAATAAATAACCTCAACAAATCAATGTGCACATGTATCAAAATACACTATAAAAGTAATTTAAATTCATTTTTCAAACCTCCAATACCTTTCCATGTATCATAAAAAGCTTCAACAAGTTTTTAGCGGTACGATTAAGGTATAATGTATTCTAAATCCAATTTTGCTGCAGTCAGTAAGGTGAGATGTAAAAATTTGTCACTCAAATAATGGAACCCTGTAGATCATAAACTAATTATTTTAAACCCCATGTTTTATACATTTTTGAAATCAGTTAAACGAGAACAATCCAAAAATGGATAAAAAAATGGGGGAAGCCATTTAAAAAAATTGAAGGGATGATAGTAGGGGTGAAAGGGTGACTTTTTCAGCAAACTTAAATATGGCACGATATCTTCCCCTTCGAATATTAATTGACGTATTTTTTTGTTTTTTGTAATAATCAGTCCTTCAAAAGTTACTTAAGGTGGATACTTTTATCTGAAAAGCACTGTATTTCATTTTGAAATAAACCAAACTAGACAAAATTAAAAGTAATCTATTTTCACGACGTATTCTATCTATTATGAATAATTGATTACATTTAAATATTTTATCAAAGGTAATATACCACGAGTCCGTACTCTTCAATATTTGACAGGAATTATGAGAATGGTGAGAGCAGTGTTGCCAGACGTACGATCATTATCGTATTTGTACAATATACGTTAAAGTTGAAAATTGCCCAGTTTTTCGGAATTTTTAGTTTTCAACTTACGAGCTACACTGAATTTCTATTGCATGTTTGCATACACACATTTAATACATTCTTTAGCATGGTACACCTGCTATCGTGATTAAAATCTAGTGAACCTTTGAAATGTACCTAAATCATAATAGAAATCATATTAGACCTATACTCTTTACCTAAGATACTATGAAAAAAGGTATGATATTACGTCGATTTATACTACGTCATGGTGACGTATTGTGGTGGAAAAGCGTACATTTTACGAATTTGCGGAATCGGCTAATCGAAAACAGCGCGCGAAAATAAATTTTAATCTTTTCGTCGCCAATCACCATTTACTCGCAGTTTGTCCTATAAAGGTTCTAGAGTATATTCCAGAATAAATTATTCATACTGGCTACCTGTTTTCCATAGACGTCCCTATACCTGGGTAAAGGGGGTTTACCCCTTCATCAAATATTCCTGGTTTTAACGAAAACTGGGGTCGTAAAAAGGCAGAGGGACTTAAAAGAGTGGAGCATAACCGATAGGTCGGAATGGCTCACATTACATTATCATCTCTGATTAGGACCGAGTCCAAAAGGACAGAGCAACTCGGCAACATTTAGCGGTCCACCAACTTTTTGATACTTAATATACATAAAAAAGTGTAACCGGTACGGTTTGCCTGTAATAGGGGTGACCTTGTTGAATATTGTATTGAATAAATAGACAAAATAAATCAAAATAAATAAAATATTTTTATGTAATTTAGTATTTACCTGTTTTTTTTGTAAAAGCCTGTATCAATAAAATCGTTATTATTATTATTTTTATATGATAAATATTTGTTCAAAAATCACACTTAATTATCATAATTTATTAAAACACAACATAAACAAAACAATTATTTAATTAATCGTCCGGGAACAACACATCGTAGCTGTATCTAGAGAAAAAGTTGTTAATATAATTTGATATTAGCTTTTTGACTAGATTCACTATGAGAGGACTGAAATCTTCGAACAGGACTTTCTGGTTATCGTTGAAAAGTTTATTTGCTTGTTCGGTCAGTTCCGGATTGGAAGGAAAAAGGTTTTCTAAATGAATATTCATGCTTTGCACTTCCGGTTTGATGTCGACGTTAGTAGGAACTATGTATTCTTTACCATTTTTCTTTTCTTTTTTACCTGACGCCACCACCGTTGCCGTTAGGTTATCTAAAAAGAAAATTATTTGATTACAAAGATATTTTTTCCAATCAGTTTCTGAGATATAAGCTAATTGCTTTTAGCTTCGTAGAGTCTTTGTTTTAGCATTGAAGCTGAATACAGTCTTAGAAATCCATCTAAGATGCCGTTGGCACTGGAATGAGCTACGTAATACAGTGTGTAACAGGCAAATTGAATAAATTCAGTACTTAACAAGTATTAGAAATTAAAAATTAAAAAAAAACCGACTTCAAAAGCGTGCAGATACCATCACCACATCTTAACCAAATTTATATGGGACCACCCCTGAAGTACCCCCTTTCTAACAAAAAAGAAACATTGAAATCGGACACCGTGTTAAAGAATTATCGCTGAACATACATAAAAAAAATTAAAAAAAATATTGCGACGAATTGAGAACCTCCTCCTTTTTTTAAGTCTGTTAAAAATCCTGAAACACTTCAATTTTTGATTATAAAATCACATCCTGCAACGTGAAAATTTCACCCCTACCTTTAACCCCCTTCGAGTTGCAACCCCTAAATTTGCCCTCAAGAATGCTATGATATTCTAAATTATTGCAATATTTAACAGCAAAAAAAAATAAATTCATCTAATCGATGAAATTGGCTAGAACACCTTAACAATTAATAACAAATAGAGTTCCGTTCTTGATAATGTGAAAGCAAGCAAAAACAATTTAAGGCCGCCATTTCAGTGTATTTTGGTCAAAACAGAGGTTTACAATTATTTACAGAACTTATCTTTTACTGGATAAAGTTTAGTGAAACTTTGGCAGCTTATAGTAAAATGTTTAATGATTGCTATTAGAAATTTTCATTGGTCCTGCTATTTGTTAAAGACTATTAAAAAATATAACAAAGTGATAGTCACAGATGCAGTTCAAAAAACTTTACAGCCTTCTACATGTTTTTTTTGAATATTCTTGACAAATTTTAATAATCAATATTGCGTACTTTTTAAATTCTGTACAAATTATGATTTGATGTATAATTTGATAATTTTGCTACGTCCATATTGAATTTTAGTTCAGGATCTAAGTTATAGGTGTCCGATGGAGCAAAAGTAGCGAAAGTTTCGAAGCCGTTTTGCCATACCTTAAAATTGTCTTGAATTTAGAAGAAAATTATTATGCATATATTTACAATTTACACAAATATAAATTATTTTTACCGTTTTCTTAATAAGATGAATTTTTAATGAAATATGGTGCTTTGTCTAAAATCAAATACTAAATTAAATAAAATTTAAAATAAATGCTTTTATACGAGGAAAATCAAAATGCACGCAAGAGTAAAGTGCCCTTATTTACACTTTGCTAATTGAATACACTTATATAAAATCATAAAATACTCATTTAAAACGCGTATAAAAAGATTTGTAAAGAGACTGGTTAAGGATGTAATTTTTTTAATGTATGAGTTTTTTTTTGCAAATATAGTGTGAATTCGACAAAATGGGCATGAGTTAGTTATGAATTTAATATGTGAATTATCAAGAGAGAAATAAACATCAATACAATAAAGTGATCTTACTTTGAAGACCAGTGATATAATAATATATTTTTGAGGCTACCAGTGCATCCATATCTTTTTCACTGCTTAGAGTACTTTATGAGTTCATGGTTGCAAAAAAAATTCAGATAAAATAACACTCATAAATCTTTCATTTACTCTTCAAAATGTAGGATAAAATGAAAAATTTCTAACCCGTTAAATTTAAATCCATTTATGTTAAATGGCGCCTTTGACTCTCAGTCGTTTTGGGATATTCCTATATACAATCTCTGGCATTACATACATAAAAATCTACTAATTTAGGTAAAACATAGTTCTGCCAAAAATTTTGGTCTTTTAGAATGATCTATATGTAGATATGGTGCTGGCTACTTTCTAAATTGTCTGTGTGGCCCGTATTAAATGTATGGCTCATATTCGGATCAGTTCCTCTAATGATTGGTAAATTAAACAATTAAAATACAGATTATATACTATTAATATGATTAAGTCAATAATGACGAAAAAAACTTACTAAAAAGGGCATCATTATAGTAACTATATTATCCTAAGAAAATTAAATAGTGATTAAAAAGTAAAAGTTTTATAATGTTTAATTTTAAGCCGTTTTACCTCGAACTTATTAGAATCTGATAATTTTGGTCAACATTCATTCTTGAACCTCAAACCTCACACAACGTGACATACGATCTACTCCAAGCTGCTTGGCTCAGTACGTCCTTGAGCGAATATCGAAGTTTGAGTATAACTGATCTAGAGTTGCAGGTAGTTCCAGCGTTTTGCAGAATCTAACAGTCCAAGTTCAACGCGTTGTCAATGACAAGTGACGACTTTTTTATCATAAAAATAACGTTTCTGAACGATAATATTTTTAGAAATTGTTTTTAAAGAAGGGGTTGAGTACGGTAAAGAATGGTGGCAAGTATATAGTTTGTAAATGATATTTAACAAATATTTAAAAGTTATAGTCTTTCCAGAATTTTTTATAGTACTTAAAAGCTAAAACGCAAAATACACTTTCTTGTTTCTGCCCTAATTATTTCAGGAATCTTGTATTAAGATATAAAAATGTACTGTCGATGAGGTGACGCCAATTTGCAACCGTGCTAATTCTAGTCAAAATTCTCACTAGATGAAAGAAGAACATACACAATACCCTAAAAAGGTTAATGCTTGGACAAAGGTAGTTGGAAACCATGTCATTGGTCTCTTTTTCATTGATAGCAGTTTGAATGGAGATAATAATTTAACACTGCTCCAAAATAATGTCGTGCCAACTTTGGCAAGTTTGTATCCTGGTCGAGAAAACCCACAAGTTCCAGTGAATGTAATATGGTTTCAACAGGATGGAGTACCACCCCCATTACCAAAATAACGTCCAGCAGTATCTCGACCAAATATTTCCAAATCGGTGGATATGGAGGCGAGGATCGATAAAATAACCAGCACAATCACCTGATCTTAAGTTTTTAGACTTTTTATATATGAAAAATATGCTATATAAAACTAAACCACGCGATTTAAGAAAAAGAAATAACGTTTGCGATTAAATCGGTCACGCCTCAGATGTTGATTAACGTTAGAAGACAATTAGTTACGATTAGGATGCTGCCAGGGACGTTTGAGGCATGCATTTTGAGCATCTACATTTTAATTGATGTTTACCAAGAACGAAACTCTACTAGTCATTAATTTATTTTTTTAGCTGTTCACTTTACAATAAATTTGAAAACCAAAGCATTTTTCAATAGAGAATGAAGAGACCTTTCAAATGAGATAGCACAAGTCCCAATTTCCTATGTACAAATTTGAAGGTTGCAAATGTCACTCGAAGGTAGTTGAAGGAAGGAGTAAAATTTTCACGTCGCAGTATGTCATTTTATGATCTAAAAATGACCTATTTTGGGATTTTTTATCAATATGCACAGTAATTGAGATACTGAATTTATTTTATTTGGCTATTATACACTCTATAGGTAATTTTGGTTAAATCAACTTATTTTGAGCCCATAAATATTTGGTAGACGAATCTACACACAATTTCTGGACTAAATCTGACGGGTATTTTGAATTATTAATACGAGTCGGTAGTTTTTGTAATAAAACACTCTTGTTTTAGAAGGGTATATACTTACGTAAAAATATTTTTCCTAATCCGGCACCGTCCAAATTGAGAATGAGCAATTTCCCATTGATGCTGTAATCCCCTTGGGCCTTCACCTCGGGAAACTTAATTGTAAATTCGAGTCGAAAATGATCCAGATCCACTTTGAATTCTTCGATGGAAAAACTGTTCGAGAACCATAATTTGATGTTTTTCAAGTTCGTTTTGAAATTCTCTCCTAATTTGATGTCGGCCGATGAAAGTTTTAGGGGATTGAAGGCTGGAATCTGCAATTCCGGTATTCCTTGTCTGAATTTTGGCCGAAGGATTTCCAAATTCTTTTTGACGCATTCTCCCACGTCCACGCGCTTCGGATGGCAGACTTCGATGAAAGAAGCTGAAATATTATTTAATTATATTTGATTCCCAAATTTTAAAAGATAATTAAACTTTTTTAAATAAAATACCAATTTTTGCGATAAGTATTTTCACTCTTCGGCAGCATTTGAATAGGTCATTCGAATGCCTAATAGGCTGTTAAAGTATTTAGCTCTGCTTTTGGATAACCTTGTACTGTTGACCACAGGGTGGTCCATATAGGCCAGTAAGTAAAGACATACGAATCGAAAAATAACATAACATTAATTCTAACATTTTTTAAACTTTCTGGTAAGATAAAATTCCGACTGAATCATAACTTGACGATTTTGTAACTCGATACAGGGTCGGCAACATTGTCAAAATTGACTAAAAGTGAAATTAATGAATTGCTGGTCGGTCAAAAATGTAACATAGCTGCAAATTTGATATCATTTTCATTTCAATAATTAAGATCTAAAGCTGAATTTGAAGCTACTTATGACTTTGGCAATGAATTTAATTGCTGTTAATTAACATTATTTATTATTTGATCTCATTTAGCAACCAAAATATTAACAAGCTTACAAAATCGCAGTTTTTTCGATGTAGGCATGATGCTTTTTTTATAATTTATAGGGATTTTCTTTTTTAATTTAAATATGATTTGGCAAAATTGTAACATGTGCAAATATTGTTTTCTAATGGCCGTATACATAAGTTAGGCATGCTATTCATTTTGCTACAGTCCACGACGTCGGCAAAGAAACTTTGGAAATTTTAATTATTGTTAGTTTGCCGACGTCATGAACTGTAGCAAAATGAATAGCCTGTGCCTAACTTACGAATGCCATCATTTGCAATTAATATTTGCACATGGTATAATTTTGCCGAATCATTTTTAGATAGAATAAAAAAGAAAATTCTTGTAAATGATAAAAAATGGATCATGCCATCATCGGAAACAATTGCAAATTTTCACAGTCATTTAGGGCAATATTATCTAGTATATTGTGATTTTACGGGCATGTTAATATTTCGATTATTAAATGAGATCAAATAATGTTAACTAAGAGCAATAATTACTTTGCCGGTGTCATAAAAGGATGCAAATTTAGCTTTAGATCTTAAATATTGAAATTAAAATGATATCAAATTTGCAGCTGTTATATTTTTGACCGTCCAGCAATCCATTAATTATGGTTTTTGTCATTTTTGACAATGTTGCCGCTCCTGTATCGAGTTGCAAAATCGGCTAATTTCGATTCATTCTATATCTACGATATCTTACCAGGAAGTTTAAAAAATGTTAGAATTAATGTAAAATTTTTTACCTGCTTTACTGGCCCAAACCAAACTAATATATTTTTAAATGAAACTATATATTTTTAAAAAATTTATACTAGGTGCTTTAGATCTTGACGGGATTTTTGTCATAAATTCATAAATCCTAGCCCTCTATTTGAAGTTACGTTTAATAGCTTTGATTGTTTTTACCTAATTAAACAATATTTGTTACCTATGATTATTTATTTATAAATATTAGCAATGCGATTATGCAAAAACTGGTTTTGACATTCTACCTAACTAGTTAAATTATATCAAGTTTTTTAGGAAAATATTCAATGCAATATGAGTATAAACATCGACATTAAATAATTATATATTTTTTTATATATACAGTGAGCACCATAAGTATTACCCCCCCTATCTAACTCGTTACTGGAGTCTTGTTAGGAAAATCGCCGAGACACGTCGATTTTTGATTTCTACAATGTACATTTTTGTATAAATAGTTTACCCTTAATTTCATCCCTTACTGGAGGGGAGCAACCCTTTCGAAAAATTTAAATGGCATGGGGTGGTGAGTAATAGCTCATTTGAAAGAGGATTTTATTCTCTATTCAACTGTGTAAAAAAATTTTGTAAAAATTGTAAAAATCAAAAATCGACCTGTCTCGGCGATTTTCCTAACAAGACCCCAGTAACGAGTTAGTTAGGGGGTAAGACTTATGATGCTCACTGTATAATATGATATTAATTTCAAACAGTTTTTAACATTATTTCTATAAGCAAGGTCAGTAAAAACACCGGTATATAATTTTTTTTTAATCAACAAGTTTTTTTTAATTAATAAGTTTTCTTAAATATAAAAAATATGTTTTTAAAGAACTTTAAGCAAAACTCACGCAATTTCCTTGCAACTGCAACACTCACAATACAACACATAAACGTGATAAAAAATTTCATTGTTTCAAAACTCGTTTACCTATCGCTTTATAAAACGTGAACCAAAATCATTGACACATTAATTAATACTGCCTCGAAAAAGAATTCTCCCGGCTGTATATAAATAAATATTATAATAAAGACAAATGTCGTCATGAAGCAGCATCGTTCAAAATTCAAGGTAGAGAATTTCCCCATCCATACTTATCATCAACATCATCGAAAACTTGTAAAGATGAGGTTACCATGATTGTATTATACCTAATTTGAAAATAAGAAAAAAACATTCAAATTATCTTTAAATTGTAACTGGAAAATTTCTCCATAATTTTATAAAAAAAAAATTAATTATGTATTGCACTAATAATTATAATTGAGTTAAATTACGATAATTTACTATATGGGGATGATGTGATATCTATGGGAAGGGTAATGTTGAGACTTATAAAGAGCGATCGATAAAAATTAATCGACTTATCTCAAGGAAGATTAATTATAATTTTCCTACGCTTGTCCTTGATAAAATTACATTGTAGTTTTCTTGAAACATACTCATCAGTATGTATTTTTACTTTCCTATCTGTATACAGATATAAGGAAAGTATAGGAATCATGATTTTTTTCGACCTCGAGTTTTCGACGGATTTTTACGTTTTGAGGTCCCCTGAATCCGTTTTGACTATTTTCGCGATGATGTCTGTGTGTGTGTCTGTGTGTGTGTCTGTGTGTGTGTGTCTGTGTGTGTGTGTGTGTGTGTGTGTGTGTGTGTGTGTGTGTGTGTGTGTGTGTGTGTGTGTCTGTATAACGCATAACTCATGAACCGATACACAGAAAAACACCAAATTTTAAACTTAAGCTTTGTTTCAGCGTCCAATGAGCTGATTAGATTTTGGGCAGAGTCGGAACATCTGGGGGGGTACTTTATAGGTGGTCATTTTTATATTTTATGGAATATATCTGTTATTTACGTTTGGAGAAGAAAATTCTTCAAATAAAAGTTACTTCTAATATAATTATCTATAATTTTTGTTATATGCAAAATTTTCCTAAAATGGTCCGTATTCGAGAAATTTGACAAAATGTAAAAAAAATAATTTTTTATAAAAATTGTTCAAATAAAAGTTGTTTGTAATATAATTCTCTATAATTTTTATTCTATACATAATTTCTCTAAAATGGACCGTATTCGAGATATTTGAGAAAATGTGTAAATTTCGAATTTTGAAGAAAACTCAAAAACGGATATAGAAAAAAACATTAAATTTTAAACTTAAGGTTTATTTCGGCCTGACGTGCAATGATTAGATTTTGGACAAAGTCGGAACATCTGGGGGGGTACTTTATGGGAGACCGTTTTTATATTTTATGGAATATATCTGTTATTTATGTTTGGAGAAGAAAATTGTTCAATTAACAGTTACTTCTAATATTATTTTCTATAATTTTTGTTTTATGTCAAAATTTCCTGAAATGGTCCGTATTCGAGAAATTTGACAAAATGTGCAAAATTCTGATTTTTTTTGTTTTTACGTAATAACTAGATAGGAAAGTCATGTGTTGGACACATCAGATTTTTTCTAAAGTAAACAACATACCCCATAGTCACTGCTTCTAATCGTATACCAGACCTTTCTACATCATTCCGCTGAAGTACCAGCTACGAAAATCTCCTGATACCTGGAAACTGAATATGTATCCACATATATTAGGGTGGGATGGGAAATAATTATATCTACGAATAAGCTCGGAAAATTATAATTAATCTTCCTTAAGGTAAGTCGATTATTTTTTTTAATTTTCCTTCGCTTGTCATTGATTTAATTACATTGTAAATGTTTAGAGTAAGAAAAGGTGATTTTCTGAATAATTATTTATAAAAACATTATAAACGTAATTAATGCATTTATAGCTAATTTTATAACTACTTACTAACTAAAAAGTGATTGAGAATAATAAAATTATTGTATGATCACAATTTAAGAAGAGGTCACATAATTGATTTAATTTCCAAATCAATAATAGTGTTAGCAAATGTGTCATTGCGTTCTTTTATAGTTTTATTATTATAAAATTTAAAAAATGTTTTAGAAGAAGGTGTCTAACCTGCGATATTTCTTATATGTTTAATACCTACCCTAAACGCAGCAAAAGTTGATGCGTATAGTACACTAGTCAGTACCGAGATGATTGTATTTACTTGATAATATGTATCATCTTTATTCTATCCTTTTTACTTTCCTATCTGTATACAGATAAGGAAAGTATAGGAATCATGATTTTTTTCGACCTCCAGTTTTCGACGGATTTTTACGTTTTGGGGTCCCCTGAATCCGTTTTGACTCATTTTCGGGATGATGTCTGTGTGTGTGTGTCTGTGTGTCAGTGTGTGTGTCTGTATCCACCATAACTCATGAACCGATACAAAGAAAAACACCAAATTTTAAACTTAAGCTTTATTTCGGCGTCCAATGAACTGATTAGATTTTGGGCAGATTCGGAACATCTGGGGGGTACTTTATTGGTGATCATTTTTATATTTTATGGAATATATCTGTTATTTACGTTTGAAGAAGAAAATTCTTCAAATAAAAGTTACTTACAATATTTTTATCAATATTTTTTGTTCTATACTAAATTGTCCTAAAATGGTCCGTATTCGAGAAATTTGACAAAATGTAAAAAAATAGTTTTTCATAAAAATTGTTCAAATAAAAGTTGTTTGTAATAATAATTCTCTATAATTTTTATCCTATAAATAATTTCTTTAAAATGGACCGTATTCGAGATATTTAAGAAAATGTGTAAATTTCGAATTTTGAAGAAAACTCAAAAACAGATAAAGGAAAAAACATTAAATTTTAAACTTAAGTTTTACTTCGGCTTAACGTGAAATGATTAGATTTTGGACAAAGTCGGAACATCTGGGGGGGTACTTTATGGGAAGCCGTTTTCATATTTTATGGAATATATCTGTTATTTATGTTTGGAGAAGAAAATTGTTTAAATAAAAATTACTTCTAATATTATTATCTATAATTTTTGTTATATGCCAAATTTTCCTGAAATGGTCCGTATTCGAGAAATTTGACAGAATGTGCAAAATTTGAATTTTTAAGAAAATTGTTAAACTAAAAGTTGTTTTCGATATCGATCTCTATAATTTTTGTTTTTACATGATTTTTCTAAAATGGACCGTAATAGAAAAATTGGAGGAATAGTGCTAAATTTAAATTTTTCAGTATTTTCGTTTTCAATGAATATCTATAGAAAAATGTTTCGAGTTATATGTATGTGGAAAGTGTATATATTTAGTTTATCCCCTAAACATTTATAGAGGTGCTGCAATAGGTTGTACAAAATAACCTATAATAATTAGATAGGAAAGTCATGTGTTGGACACATCAGATTTTTAACGATATATTAGAGTTTAATCAAGGAACAGTCTGTACTTTGATGGCTAATGTTTTTAAACTTTTTTTTTTATTTGATTTTGCGAATGGTGAACCTTTCAAGAATATTGTGTGAAAATTTGAGATGAATCAGAGCAAAACTAACGAAGATACAGTGGTTTGAGCAACCGAGCCTCATACATGACTCGGCGCATCAGAAAACATCTGCCCGTCCTGAGCGCACTATTGTTACCTGACAGCTGTTTCGCTCTCTATATAATCCCTAACCTTACGCGCTACCTTTCTATATAGAAATTTCAATACAAGTACAAACGTGTTTATACCTGTACTCTATAATTGTTGTTCATTCACATAAATAGTGGATTCTTTGGTAGCCTTATTAATTGACTTGTTAACACTGATAATTTTTGAGTCAATTTTACGACCTTTGCTACTGTCTAAGAACTTCTTTTTTATTTCCTGATTAGAGAATTTTGAAATTATAGTTGGTCCTTTTTTTGTTTCTTTGGTATAACATTCACAGATATCATTATTTAGAATATTACCTTGAAATAAATCATTAGCAATTACTAGTACAACAGCTTTGGGGTCAGCCGAACTTTTAACTTGTGTACCATGTATCTCAACATTACAGGCTATTTCCTTCATCTCCATTTCATTTATGCGTTCTTCAATGTGATTCACCTTAATTGTAAGACTCGAATTTTCGTTTTTAAGTGTTCTTAGTTCATTAAGAACACTCTTATTTTCTTTGACTAAGTCATCAAATTTGGCAGACATAAAATGTATCTGCTTCTTGTAAGTCGCTCAAACTCTTCACCACCTCTGCAGATGACATATTTAGATCCTGTGGGGCAACACTTATACTGCCAACGGGGTTTCCAACTTTTTTAACCTCACTTCTTACTCACTCTGGACATTTTATAGATCCATTAAGAATTGTGCAAATTCTTTTAGCACAACTTTCATGGAAACAGTTCTTGCAAACAATGCATAAGACGAATTTTGTAACAGATTTGTTACAGCAGAAACAGATTTTCTCTGTATGGCACATTTTACTCTTAACCAGTTTGGTTGTCAACTTCCGTAATATGCAATCATTTGTTTCATTTTTAGCAAGAAATTTTAAAGCATAAAATACTGCTATGATTTTTAAGAAGTTAATGTGCAGTTTTAATTCTTGGTAGCCCCAAAACTCATGGTATTCAAAACAATACAAAAAAGGCACACCAACCAGTCTGAAAAAATCTCTCTCGAGAACAGCTTAGAACTAGCTTGACCTAATCCAAAACATTTAAGTTTGAATTGTGATTTCTCTCGAAGAATCATTAGAATTGATTTCAGTCACTATCCAAAATTATAATTGCAAAGGTAAATGATGTGATGATAATGAAAAATTTGAAGATAATAAATAAATATTCGGTTCTTTATTATTGAAATTGCCACATATTTAAAAAAAAACCAAATTATTATTTCGAATTTAATAATAAATATTGCTAGTTCTTTGAAAACATTTACTAAGACATTGACTAGAAGTAGAAGGAAATAAATTAATATTATTATTATTATTATTAATCATAATTTTCTAATGTCTCATTAAATTAAATTGTTTTATTCTGTTTAATAACTAGCTGTTAAGACACCAATAATTATTATGTTATAATGAATTTGAAATACATATTTTTTCCTCATAACATAAAAATAATAATAATTACACGATAATTAATTATATTCCTTATTATTAAAAAAAGTACCTATATTAAATTAGTTTCTAATCATCTGGAAATAGAACATCGTAACTATATCGATTAAAGAAATTACTCATGAGGCCAATGATAATTTCCTTGACAATCTTCAGTATGGCTGGATTGAAATCTTCGAGCAAAACCTGTTGGTTTTCGTTGAAAAGTTTGTTCGCCGAATCTGTCAGTTCTTGATTATTGGGAAATAAATTTTCCAAAATGAGGTGCATAGATTTAGTTTTCGGTAAAATATCAAAATCGCCGATTACCAAGTAGTCCTTTCCATTCCTGTTTTCTTTTTTACCATAGCCCGTTACTTCTGCATGAACGTCGGCTGAAAACAGATTATTTTTTACTGGGTATTGTTAAAAATCCATTAGTATGAATAAAGCTAAAATTTCTGACAGAGTTAGATATATTTAAAAAAATATTTAGAAGGTATTAGAACGATGAGATCCAACCAAATTTATCATTATGAAGGCTAGGTCATATGAATAAAATCTAAAATATTTATAAATGTAAGTTTTATTCCAGTCTGCAGTGAACTGATTAGATTTTGGGCAGAGTCGGAACTTCTAGAGGGGTACTTTATAGGAGGTTATTTTTATATTTTATGAAATATATGTTATAAAAGTTACTAATAATATTATTCTCTATAATTTTTATTATTTACAAAATTTTCCTAAAATGGACCGTATTCGAGAAATTTTGACAAAATGTAAAAAAATCAAAATTGTTCAAATAATAGTATATTATGCAACGATCATGTAATGATGGTTATTAATACACGAGCATTAACCGGGATACGAAACGAGCCAAAGGCGAGTTTCGTATGGTTTATGCGAGTGTTTTAATAACCATTACATGAGAGTTGCATACGCTATTTTTTCTACACCCGATAAATAATCAAGACCTATAAATATTCTATTTATATTGGTATTGAACACAATAACAGTAATTACTCGTATTTCTATAAAAAATTCTACAAAATTGTAATTAATGGTATTACCTTGGGTACTGGTATTACCACAGATTTTTGGGGCAAAATATTTTGTACTGCATTTTCTCCTTTCTCCGATATGTGTGGAGGAGTCTTCTATATCGCTGATATCAGACATTTTAATATTATAATTATCGAAGTTTAGCTATCTACGAAAATTTAATACGTTTTGACAACTAAAACAATTACATAGGAATTTAGGACAAACGTCAAACATCATGCTTGATTGAAAAATTGTAGGTTTCTATTGATTAAAAATCTGTATCATAATGAAAAATCTGTATCATAATGGGTATCATTATGAAACGGATTATGGGCATATAAGTGCATTATTATAATACGGGTGTAGAAAAAAGTTGTTTGCGATATAATTCTCTTGTCTTATACATAATTTCTCTAAAATGGACCGTATTTGAGATATTTGAGAAAAAGTGTAAATCTCGAATTTTGAAGAAAACTCAAAAACGGATAAAGAGAAAAATATTAAATTTTAAACTTAAGCTTTATTCCGACCTGAGGTGAACTTATTAGATTTTGGGCAGAGTCTGAATATCTGGAGGGTACTTTATAGGGGGTCGTTTTTATATTTTATGGCATTTATGTTTGGAGGAGAAAATTTTTCGAATAAAAGTTACTTCTAATATATTGTTCTCTATAATTTTTGTTCCATACAAAATTCTCCTAAAATGGTCCGTATACGTGAAATTTGGCAAAATGTGCAAAATTCTGATTTTTAAGAAAATTGTTAAACTAAAAAATTGGAGGAAAAGTGTAAAATTTTAATTTTTCAGTATTTTTCTTGGCAATGAATATTTATAAAAAATGTTTCGAATTAGAAGTATGTGGAAAATGTATATATTTAGTTTATCCTCTAAACATTTAAGAAGCGCTGTACAAAATAACCGGAAAAAGCCTATAATAACTAGATAGGAAAGTCATGTGTTGGACACATCAGATTTTTGGTCTAAATCCAATGTTTTGTTTTTCTATATATGCCGTAACCTTGAAAAACTTGCTTAAATCGACGTCTTTTTTGAGTTTAATTACACTTTTTAACATTGAGTACCTGGACCAAAGAGTGTTTGGCTTGTATGTTTTGGAAATTTCAGCGAAATAAGCCAAAAAAAGGCCTTTCTTAAAAGTTTTAATTCCCTTCTTCTGGCATCAGTTTTCAAACAAAATATATTCCTTTTCATATCTATAACGGGATTGTAATAGCTCTAAGTTTGCAGTTCTAGGCCGCTTCCAAAAGTGACTCTGGCAAATCTTCGTCTGAAGAATCCATGAAAAAATATCTTTTAGAAAAATATGCGACGGTAAAATTGGTTTTGACAAGGTAGTTTGACTGACAGGTTTATTTTTTCTTTGTTGCTACGGTGATTCAAAGTGACACTTAAAAAATGTCAGATGTTTATTATTATTTGACATTCATTTGATGAGGCCTATACCAGGGCCATTAAAAAATTATTGAAACTTACGTTTCTTTTTATTAAAAATTATAGCAAAATTCTAATAAATTTCTTAATTTTTCAGTCATTTTGTAAACTACAACCATACAAATATATATTTTAAATATTCAAATGTCAGTATACTCCCCAAAAATTTAACAAATTTACTAGTGCGGAAAAAAGTTTATTTTCTACTACCGTGCGTAAAGTACGTACTTTACGCACTCCACGAAGTGTGTAAAGTTGTACTTTTTTTCACTAGTGCGTAAAGTAAAACTCTTTACGCACTAGTTAAAAAAAGTAAAATTTGACAAAATTTGTACATAACAACAAAATATAACGTTTTATTTTATATTAACATTTTTTTGCTATCTCCTTCTAAGACAAATAAATAAATTATTTTTGCTTATATCTATTTAGTGTCCAACAAATTATCAACAGTTTATTTTAATTATAATTTTCTCTAAATGTCATCGATTTAATTAAAAGTAAACATACAGTGGATGTCGATTTTGGTAAAAGTAAGTTAGCCGTGGCTGTGTGGATTAGAAGAACTGTCAATCTCTAAACTTTTAATTAGTACCTACCTTATAACAGAACACGACAAAAGTATACTTAAGTTCAAGATTAGATTCTAAAACCAATTTAGAATTTTTTTAAACTCAATCAAGTTTGAGAAGGTAAAAAGTTTTACTTTTTAATGTTTGTTTACTTAAATTCAAATTTTATTTGCAGTTTATTATATCTGTCATAATCGATATGGATTCAAATTTATCTAGCGATAGCGAATTTGATAATAATCCCCCAGATATCTTATGCAGTGCACAAAAGGCCACTGAAAATGTATTGCCAGAAAAATCTGCATATATTTATCAGCAAAAATACAATGCATTTATAGAATGGTGTAGGAAGAATAAGGTGATAAAATATTCGGAAAACGTTATTTTAGCATATTTCTCTGATGAATTGAAGAATTGCAAAGCTTCTACCCTATGGTCGATTTATTCTATGCTTAAAAGCACCTTAAAATATAAAAACAACGTTGATATTTCGAAATTAAACAAGTTAATAGCGTTTCTCAAACAAAAAAATAAAGGTTATAAACCAAAAAAATCCAAAATTTTTAAACGAGAAGATCTAATTAATTTTCTGTTGAAAGCTCCAGATTCCAAGTTTTTAATGATCAAAGTAAGTAAACGCCTCAGTAAATGCTTGAATGCTCAGTATAAAATTAAAATATTCTGTAAAGTTTTGCAACGAGATGTGTGTTCGTATGGTGTGTTGCCTAACAAAATCAGTTGCTGTCCTAACAGACCACCGGGGTTGTTAGGCAGCACATTATACCTAAAACTTTTATATTTTTTACAATAGCATTTTTTTGGAGTTTTACATGCGCAACGTCAAGATATTTCCTAATGCTTAATAAATTATTTGTAATATTACAATATGTTATTTTTTAGGTAGCTTTTATAATTGGAATTGCGGAAGCTTGTCGCCGGGAAGAATTATGTAAAATGACAATTAACGATGTGGAAGATAAACAAACAGTGTATATTGTCAAAGAATCAGAAACCAAAAATGGAATAGAACGCATTTTTACGATTTTAAATCCAAATAATTGTGCAGTTGATTATTTATCTTTCATAAAAAAATAAACCTCATTAAGACCATCAAATATAAATTGTAACAGATTTTTTTAAAAATTCGCAAATGGAAAATATTCTAAACAGCCTGTAGGGATAAATACTTTTGGTAAAATGCCAAATGTTATAGCAACGTATCTAAACTTGCCCAATCCAACGGCTTTTACAGGACACTGCTTTAGGAGGTCTTCAGCCACTATGCTGGCAAATTCTGGAGGAGACCTTCTAACGGTCAAAAAACATGGAGGATGGAAATCATCTGCTGTTGCAGAAGGCTACTTAGACAGCACAATAACACAGAAAAACAAAATTTCTAATAAAATTTTGATGGATGACATTATGCCATCTACTTCCAAACAAAGCTACAATTTTACCGTTGACAACTCTAATGAAGAATTAGTGGAACCACTCGACAGTGAAACTAGAGTTACACAAAATATTTCAACCTCTTTACTTGAAAAGGCTAAATCCATACCACTCGAAGCTCAAAATAGGGTTACAGAAGTAATATCACAACATTTTTCAAACTCTGTGCTGGAAAAGGCCAAAACCTTAAGTTTTGGTAATTGCAATAATTGCACATTCAATATTAATATTCATAAGAGTTAAAAACCTATTTTTTTAAATATTTCTTCATTTGTTAGTCATTTTGTTAAGAATTATATATTCGTCAAAAAAGGGTAACTTTACACACTTGTTGCATAAATAACTATTTCAGCACTAGTGCGGAAAAGTGACTCTTTCAACACTAAAATGAGTGCGGAAAAGTGGACTCCGCTTATTAAAGGGATAGAAAGGGAGACAATCAAATGAATTTAAGAGGGGGAATGAAGGTTGGATGAGAGGAGAAACAGTCTGAAGAAGTGGAAGAAGTAGAAAAAGGTGACATGGCTGAACAAAATGTAAATAATACTGTTTGTGCAGAAAAGAAACAGGAGAAGCAACTAACAATTGGAGAAAAATATGGACATTAGTTAATAATAATGATGATATTCCTAGAAATGAAGAAAGATAGACAACAAGATAAGAAAGAACTTATAAGGAAAATGGATTAGGATAGACAACATGATAAAGAAGAGAAAAATCAAGGAAGGTTAAAAGATAGAAAAGAAATTATAAAGAAAATGGAGAAAATTAAGAATAACATAAAACAGGACATGACGAAATAAAGAAAAAAATAGAAAAGAAATTAAAGAAATATTAAACAGAAGAAACAAAGAAAAAGAAAGAAGACACATTTAGATCATAAAAAGGAAAAAGGAGGAAATGAAGAAATAAATATACCAAACAAAAATTATAAAGATAAAATTAGAAGAGATGAAAATAGAAAGTAAATAAAAATAAGTTAGTGAGGAAATACAGAATAAAAATCCAGGAAAAGAAATTAGTATTGATAGACAAAAGAATTAAAAAAGAAATCGAAGAAGAAAATAAAGCAAATTGGGGGACAGGTTGGAGAACGCAGGAGAACCATCAGTTATTAGGGCACCAAAGAAGAAAAATCTAAATTTGTATTGTCGAACCACCCCTTTTAAAGAGTCTCGGGCAAAATTTTAATTTTCGGATACTGGGTGTTTCCATATCAATATTTTAGTTCCTGAAAAAATTTTCACAATTTCGTATTTTTTTAATTTTCTCAATTTTTTCCACATTTCAATATATTCAGGAACTAGTTCAATATTATTAGAATATTATGAAAGCAAATTCGCATAGATTTGTTGCCTGTTATGTTAATATTAAAAATTTTTCCTATGCCGCCTAACGCCGCCTTAAGGTTTTATTTTTGTGACAATTCTCACGTTTGGCAAACGTGCTGTTACAAGTTACATATAAAAAAAGCATCCAGGCTTTTTCTTAACCGTTATATGACTTGGGTATAATAAAATTTTTATTTAATTGTAGGTACAAGAAAAACTTACTCAAATTGATGTAACCAGCACCCTCGCCGTCCAGATTCAATATCAGCAACCTCCCCTTCAAACTGTACTGAGTCGTTGCTACAATCTCCGGTATCCTAAGTTTGATATAAAGCTTTACCTTATCCAAATCGGCTTTCAAATCGTCCACGATGAAACTCTTAGGGAGAGACAAGCTCAAATTCTTGATAGTCGCGAAGAAATTATCGCCCAATTGTACGTTGGCTTGAGGAAGGACGTACGGTCGGAACGAAGGGATATGCATTTCCGGAATGCCATCCTTTAATTTCGGCTTCAAAATTTCGATGTTTCTTTTCAAGCATTCGTTGATATCCGTGTGTTTCGGTCGGCAAACTTCTATAAACGAAGCTGAAATAACAAAACGCAAATAATTAAGAAAGAAAAGATATTGATGTTACCTTAGTAACGAACCATACTGCAATGAGCAAAGAATTTTTTGCGGAAATTTCACATATACAAACTTTTTGATTTTTTGCATGACTTCATTGATTACCCCGTATATAATAAACCTATGGTCCTACGTCATGCAGCTTAATCCGAAAAAAAACTAGCTCTTAAATTCTGCAAGCTGCGTTCTAAAATTTGCATTACTGTTGAAAATATTAAACTTAAAATTTTCCCTAAAAATCTCTATGTGTAAGTTCGAGTGACCAGTAGTTTAATTAACCAGCGATGCACATACCGCGGCCCACTGTCATACAAAATTATCTTTAACTACCTACAACTTTCTTGTTCAGGTTTACTACGTAGGACAGGTATTATACTCGCTGTTTCAAGATTATTGTTATAAGTCTGTGCATCCCTGAATCTAAACAAATCATAATAATATGAGGACGGTTTTGGCAAGTAAATATTTGGACCCGATTAGAAAACAAGAAAAGTGGCAAATATTGCAAATTTCTTCTTAAATGTTCGATACTTAATAATAATAATAATTAACGTTAAAAATAGATTTAACATAAAACAATTTGTAATTAGGTAGTAACACATTATATACGAAATTAAAAATGCTTACGTAGTTTTCTCGCTAATGAAATTCCAGTCAAACAAGACAACACCGGCATCAACAAAAGCAAATAATATTTCATCTTGAAACTGAAACTGGTTATCGATTTCGCGAAAAATTGATACGTATCAAACTGATTCTTAAAATTAGTCCGACTCGTTTATAAACTTCCTTTAAATTTATAAAAAATATCAACAATAAGGCCGGTGTCGAGGTGGGAATGAAAAAGAATCGTAAAAAAAATTGTTTTGTATATTTAATTAATTTATGAAAATTCTTAAGGACGTTTTAAATTTTTCTCTATAAAATTCGACCATAAATTCATTAGGCACGATGGTCAAATATTGATTGTAACTGAAAACATTAAATAGAAAAAAATACAACGGAAAAAAACAAACTCAAACAAACGATTATGAGAGAAAATAATGCGAAATTATTCAAATTATTATTAGCATAATCTGACCTTAAATAAACTGATGATTCGGTTTCACGAATATTAATAATAAAATTTAATAGGCATCGTAAAATTTTGTCAAGAAAATTAGATACATCGGCAGCAGTGCAAACAATCGTGCATGATTGCTTCAAACGCTCCAAAAAAGTACATTGTATCTATTAAAAAAAAAAGAAAGAAAAAAAATTGAAAAAATTGGTGGGTAATAATTAGACAAAACATTGTTTTCCAGGTCATAAAGTTCTGTTCAAAAAAAAAAGATTGGTGGGGAAACACTTATCATATGTAATTTGAAGAAAATGTGAGTGATCCATTCAAAAACTCAAACCTAATATAATTTCTGGTAATACAGAAACTCCGCCATTTTGTCTAAATAGGTATAAGTGTCAATTGGATATTCTGTCTAATAGGATTTTTCTCAAATTTTATATAAATCGCTTAATAAATAAAAAAGATATTAACGTAGCCCTCCCTGGTATAACAACAAAACCCATCAGATTTTGTGCAGTCTAAACCAGTATCCATAAGACTGATTTGAAAAAACGACAAGAATTTACGTCATGAGGTATAAAAATTATTTTTGTGCCAGATTGTTCCTTACTAAATGTACCACCCAGAAAATATTCGTAAGACAAAATATTTGGAGACTTAGCTGCCTTAAGACAAGAGTTTTTGGAAATAGGTCTAATATTTACCTCATAAGGCATAAAGATAACACCAAAATAATTTTGTGTGGAATCATGTAGAATCATCTAGAACAGTTTCGTAATACTGGGGGATTTTAAATTTCAAAAAAACGAGAAATTTACATTATAAGGCGTAAAAATAGGAGTCTTAAGTTCTGATAATTATGAGACAGATTTTAAAAAAACGACAAAAATTAACGTCATAAGATATAAAAATTATTTTTATTCCAGAAAATATTCGTAAGACAAAATATTTAGAGGCTTAATTGCTTTAAGACAAGGGTTTTTGGAAATTGGTCCAATATTGACCTCACATGGTATAAATATAACACGTAATCGTCTAGAATCATCATCTCTAATCATATAGAAACATCTAGATTCATCTAGAATCGTATAGAATCATATAGAATCATATAGAATCATATAGAATCATATAGAATCATATAGAATAATATAGAATCATATAGAATCATATAGAATCATATATAATCATCTAGCTAGAATCATATATAATCATCTAGGTAGAATCATCTATAATCCTCTATAATCATCTATAATCATCTATAATCATCTATAATCATCTATAATCATCTATAATCATCTATAATCATCTATAATCATCTATAATCATCTATAATCATCTATAATCATCTATAATCATCTATAATCAATCATCTATAATTATCTATAATCATCTATAATCATCTATAATCATCATCTATAATCATCTATAATCATCTATAATCATCTATAGTCATCTATAATCAATCATCTAGAATCATATAAAATCGTCTATAATTGTCTAGAATCATCCAGAATTATCTAGATTCATCTAAAATCATTTAAAATAATCCAAAATAATCTCGAATCATCTAAAATCATCTCGAATCATCTAGAATCCTTTAGAATCATCTAAAATCATCTAGAATAGTTTCGTATTACAAAACATTCCGGGATTTCTGTCTGTAAGACAGATTTGAAATTAAAAAAGAAAAATATACATTATAAGGCGTAAAAACAAATAAATAGGAGTCTTTAATTCTAATAATTATGATAACGAATCCTAAGAAACCTGAATGTAATAAACATGGTATTTTTCAATTTTTTTTTGTCGGATAACTCGTAGTTTGAAACGTTATGTTAAAAATTCCTTTGTTATATTTAAAAATGTACATATCCGACAATACTTTTGAGACCGGCCCTGTTTTTGTGTCTGTGATAATATAATTGATAATTTTATGTTTTGCGTGTTTTAGGCTCTCGTGAGTATCTAGAGGGAGTATCGGTGTGCCGAGTACTCGTCAATATTAGACTATGTGATTCGGAGAAAGTTCTCTTCCTTATCAAAAATAATCGATTAATTAAAATATACGATAATTGATTATTTATTTTGATAATCGCACGGTCCTGTCGATAATTAATATATGTACCTATTCAATAAATTATTAACAATCGATTAATAATCGATAACTTTTTATACAATTTTGATTGTACCAAATTTTGTAGTTATGTCCAAAATACCGCTACAATATATTTATTTTCATTAACCATGAAAGTTTTGCAAGAAAGCCAGATTGGTATGCCATTAAACCATTTTTAGAACCTTTTCTAAAGCAGTCAAAATATTTTATAGGTAAAGTCAATAAGTCACTGTTATTTCTAAAACGTTTAGTTTAGTCTAAATAAAACGGTTTTATATAAAAACTTTTTATTATAAAAAAAATTCCAATTACACATAAATACTATAAAAAAAACATGGATTAAATTTACTTTTTGGTACAAAAACTTTATAGGAGAAGGTTCTACAGACAGAAATACCTTTCTATACCCACCTTACTAGTTCCTAATACTGCAAAACAACCATTTATCTACATCCTACGATTATTATCTAAATCATGCATTTGGAAACAACACGTCGAAACTGTAATACTTGAAGATATTCCTAAGAACACTCAACAGAAATTCTTTGATAATATTTACAACGAGAGGACTGAATTCTTCGACGATGACGTTTTGATTGTCGTTCAACAGTTTGTTAGCATTTTCGGTGAGTTCCGAGTTTTTGGGGAACAGATTGTCTAAAACGAGATCTAGATGTCCTACTTCGGGTTTGATATCGAGAGACGTTATCACAACATGTTCCTTACCATTGACCATCTCTTTCTTTCCCAGAGCTACTACGTTGGCTATCAGATTGGCTGAAAAAATAAAACATAAAAGTTTATTCGTAATTGGCGACATAATCAACTTTTCGGAATCAGTTACATTATGTTCAACTTTATGTAATTGCTTAGATAAAGTACATTTGACACTTGCTGCGATTATAAAAATGTCATTTTATATGTTAAAATAAGAAAAAAGCATTAGAAATTTGATTGGATGGATCGCTAAGCCAACCTCAGCCTGAAATAATTATCAATTTTTAAAACCAAAATACACATAACCAAACCTATATGGAATTAGCCAGTATACAAAAAAGGTATTCACGATAAAAATATCGTTGGATATCAGAATGTAGTTCATTTCAACAGATTTTATTGTCAAAAGTATAAGTAATATCAAAAATGGGGAGTGGGTGGCTCAGTGGTAGAGTATCTGCCTGCGGATCCAAGGGTCCCGGGTTCGAATCCCACCGTTAGCTGGGATTTTTTCATTTAATATAATTATTTAAAATTAATTCTGATGCCTTGGTAGGATTCCCTACTCGACCATTCACTGTTGGGTTCTAATTAAAGTGGCGCTGAGAAACAGTAACAAAGCCTGCATAGAACACAAGGCTAATAACCTTAGTAGTTGATGCCCAATGACACCAAAATGAAAAAAAAAATAGATCAAAAATAAAGTAAGAAAGCAGCTTTTTAAATAAAATATGGGCTTTTTAGGAGTTTCTAAGAACCTTAAATAGGTTTTTGAAACAACCGCTTGTGAAATACCAACTGTACGGTGCAATGGTTCTTTGGGACATACTCTGTTCTAATAAAGTGCTGAAACAATGCAGAATATAAAGAAAAAGCGATAAAGTTCTGGTCTGCTGTGCGATATCGCCTAGAGGACTATCCAGACCTTATTAATGTGAGTCGAGTAAGGGGGAAAGCTATGGATTTTAAAAGTTATATTAACAACTGCATTAATAAATTGAACACCAACATCCCCTTGTAGATAATATAGTGTTTTGGCATGCTATTGTGCATGTGCAAAATTGGCTTCATCAAAATAACATACTTTTTGTATCAAGACAAGATAACCCTCTAATTTTTAGTGTATGATGAAGGGACAAGACCAAAAAGGGGAACTACTATGTAAAATTTTTCTAAGGATACGCGGACTAAATGTTCAAGTCATCCATGAACTACTAATAAGCAATGTACGTTTTATTTATTAATACTCAATGATGTTGGTCCTAATTTCCCTAATAATTTTTTTTATTGTTGTTTTTATTTCTTTATAATTGTTAATACCTGCAAAATATCCATTTCCAATACCTAGAAAAATTAAATAATTTATTCATTTGGTAAAATACAGGGTGTTGTGAAGAAAATTTAATGGCAGAGTCTACATCTAAAAATATAAAAAAAGTTCATATAAATAATTTTAGAAATGATCGATCCGGTTCATGATACAGAATGTTCAAACTTTTCCGTCTTTAATAGTTTATCTTAAATTTACATATAACCCGTTGAGATATTGAAATGAGTTTTGGTATCATGAAAGGTCACAACAAATTGGATTGGTCGGGGCGGGCCTAACTTAAATCCTTGCGATTTCTATGTTTGACGGGAACTAAAGCAACAGGTGTATTTCACTCCTATAGCGGATTATGCCAAATTACTGGAACGCGTTACCAATGCTTATGAAACAATACGCAAAGGACTTTAAATATTCAGAAGAGTCAAAATAAATATTTTTTGAACAATGTTTCAAAAAAATACCGAATTTGACAGAAAACTCATGCCAATTTTAATATGGACTATTTTAAGTTTTAAAAAGAGTAGAGGTGAATGCCCTATGACGTTTTTTCTAATACTAATATTAAAAAAATTCCCATATAGAGCCAACTTTATGACATTTTTTTATATTTTTGATGTAGAATCTGTCATTAAATTTTCTTCACGCCATTCTGTAACACCCTGTATATGTGCAAAAATAATTATTTTTATTTATAAATTTTGGTCTTTGAACTACGGTCTGTACCTTACAAAGTCGTTAAACTAATTTGTATTGATCCTTGAACAGTTCTTCGAAATTTTTTTTTGCTGTTTCTACACGATCTTTGAGTAATACTTGTTTTTTCTTGCCGAATTTTTTTTTTTTAAAGAGATACCTTATTAATTTAGAACGAAAACAAGTTCATCGTCTACGAATTATACTGGGAAAACCAAAATATAATTATCAGGCGTTTTATAAAAAACTTTACTTATATAAAAGCAAAATTTTATTTACATTAAAAAAAAAACATAAAAATTCTCTAATAGTATCGTTAAATCATTATTCCGAAACATAGTTACCATCAACTTCAATAACTGATTCCCATTTGCTTGGAAGACGGTCGATTCCACGGGCAAAAAAGTCACGGTTCTTGGAGGCAATCCATGCTTTAACATCGGCCACCAAGCTATCCAAATCTTCGAAAACTTTCTGTATCAGCCAATTTGTCAACGATCGATTGACATGGTAGTCCGTTGGCGCTTCTGTTGGAGAATATGGCAGATGCGGAAGCAGTTCTCAACCCTTATTGGCGATGCTTTCGACAACACGGCGCTCAACATGTGGACGCGTATTGTCGTGAAGGAAGACGCGGTCTTTTCGTCTCGATTACAGCGTGAAGGCGGTCAAGTTGCGCCATATAGACATCACTGTTGACGTTGAATTGCCGCTTGCCGTTTTTGTCAGGAATCTGCCATTCGTGACGCTCATCTTCATCATTCCACCAATAACAAATCCCATTTGAAGTGATTTCCCAATGGATAATTCCGCTTCTGTCCCACCAAACACCACATTGCCTTTTTACAGTGTACGTTTTTCGGTAGTCGTTTTGGTGAAACACCTGGCGAAACGCAGACCTTCTTTCTTTTGACATTTTTGAAGAGAAGCCATGGCTCATCTCCAGTGACAAGATTCTTCAAAAACGGAGCTTGTTCGTTACGTTGCAGCAAATCAGTAAAAATTCGGAGACGTTCAGCTTTATTGTTTTCGGACAGCCACTTTCCATACCTTTCCCAGCTTTTTTCAGACGACAAACGATGGTTGAGTGGTCCACATTGAGGACTTCTGCCAGCATTCAAGTTGTCAAACTTTCGTTCCTTTCTACGGCTTCCAAAAGTGCCTGGTTATCGAAATCTGATAGTCGACCTCTTCTTGGCTTATCTTCCAAGCTAGTGTTTCCAGATTTGAAATGGGCAAACCATTCCCTGCATACACTTTCACTTATTTTTCCTTCACCAAAAAGTTCGCTGAGATCACGAATTGACTGCGCTGTTTTCCATCCTTTTTCGAAGTGGTAAAGCATAATATGACGAATATGAGTATAATTATCGACAAGCATTTTTACAACCACGAAATTAAATAATATTTTGACAAAGCAAAAGTAAATATTACAGCAATTGTTTCTGAAAAAACGCCTGATAATTATGCACCAGCCCAATATTTTCTATTTTTTGTTGTATAATCTTTATTTTTAAAATATTTAAAATTGATTAAGGATCTTTGTGGTTAAAATAGCAGACTATCTATCCTGCTCTTTGGGACTACCATCGACTTAATTTTTTCAAATTTAATCATATTTTTCCAAAATTAAAAAAATATATATACTTACTAATATTGATTTGTGCAGGTCCACTGCCATCTAATTTGAGTACAAGAAGTTGCCCTTTGACAAAATAATTGGCCAAACAATCGATTTTGGGGAATTTGATTTTCAAATCAATATTAACAGTGTCAATATCGACTTTCAGTTTTTTGATGATGAATTCCTGCACACGATATAGACTGATGTTTTCTAATTGTGCCTAAAAACAAGAAAATTTAGTTTAGAGAAATGAAAAATGTATTGAAATAAATTTTGGCCATTTGGAAATTAATTTATTGTAGATATTTGAATTTGTTTCTACATAAAAAATAAAAAATAAAAAAATACAAAAAAATACAATTATGGCTATTTATTTATTTTAAATACACTTTATTTATCATAATATAACCAACCCTGTGGTCTACAGTTGGCCAAACCGTTAATCTTTTTCGCTAGTTTTTACTATTTTGATAACGATTACCATGCTTTTTGAAAAAAAATATAAAATAAGAGAACATAATTTTATGTATAACTAGCTGTTGCACACGGCTTCGCATGCGTGGAATCGTGTTTTTAATATAAAAAAATCTGATGTGTCCAACACATGACTTTCCTATCTAGTTATTATAGGCTTTATCCGATTATTTTGTACAACCTATTGCAGCACCTCTATACATGTTTAGAGGATAAACTAAATATACAGGGTGGCTCACGCGCAACGGGACGGAGCTTTATGGAAAAACGACCAAAGATATAAAAAATTCGTTTGGGAGGAATACGTAGGTTACAGACGGCTACAATTTAAAATTTGTTAGATGTATACAGGATGTCCCACATAAGAGAAAATATACAAAGTTATATTATTTTTAACACCCTGTTTTTTATTTTAGAATTAAAAACTACATCAAAAATAATGTCAGTTAACTAAAGGTTCCCTATTACTATTATTATTAGTTTTCGATTTATTTGAATTTTTAAGGAAAAAAAGTCTCCCAGAAATTAATTGTTTACTCTTGTTTGAATAATTTTTAATGAACTAATTTTTTTTTCTTATGTGGGACATCCTGTATACATCTAACAAATTTTAAATTGTAGCCGTCTGTAACCTACGTATTCCTCCCAAACGAATTTTTTATATCTTTGGTCGTTTTCCCATAAAGCTCCGTCCCGTTGAGCGTGAGCCACCCTGTATACATTTTCCACATACATCTTAACTCGAAACATTTTTCTATAGATATTCATTGAAAACGAAAATACTGAAAAATTTAAATTTAGCACTTTTCCTTCAATACGGTCCATTTTAGAAAAATCATATAAAAAACAAAAATTATAGAGATCGATATCACAAATAACTTTTATTTAAACAATTTTCCTAAAAATTTGAATTTTATTACATTTTGTCAAATTTCTCGAATACGGACCATTTAAAAAAAAATTGTATAAAACCAAAATTATAGATAATAATATTGTAAGTAATTTTTATCTGAACAATTTTCTTTTCCAAACATAAATACCAGATATATTCTATAAAATATAAAAACGGCTTCCCATAAAGTACCCCCCCCCCCCAATGTTCCGCCTTTGTCCAAAATCTAATAATTTCACCTCAGGCCGAAATAAAACTTAAGTTTAAAATTTAATGTTTTTTCCTTTATCCGTTTTTGAGTTTTCTTCAAAATTCGAAATTTACACATTTTCTCAAATATCTCGAATACGGTCCATTTCCAAAAACCATGAAACAAATCATTATTTATTTTTGATCAGTAGCTGAATTTCAAATTTTCATGTCTTTAACTTTAAAAAACAAAAAACAACATATACATACTTTCAAACAAATTTTCACCCCCCGTTTCCCCCCCTTAAAAGGTGAAAATGCAAAAACCCTAAAATACTACATTATTTATATATGATGAGGACCACCAATTCCAATTTTCAAGTTCCTACTTTTAAAAAAAATCGATACTTTCAAATGAACTTTCATCCCTGGTTCGCCGTCCCTTAAAATGTGAAAATTCAAATACCCTGAAACACGTCATTACTAATTTGTACTCAGTAGCTACAATTCCAATTTTTATGTTTCTAACTTCAAAGAGAACAAAAAAATCGATAGTCCCATAAAAACTTTCACCCCCGTTTTCCTTCCTTAAAATGTGAAAATCCAAAAACTCTGAAACCCGTCAATATTTATTTATGCTTAGTAGCTGTAATTTAAATGTTCATGTTTCTAACTTTAAAGAACAAAGTGTTTCATTAAAAGCTCCCTCCCATTTTTCATGGGAGGGGTTTCTGAGGTCTATGGCCCCTCCAACAACAAAGTAACATTTTTTGGACAAGATTGTTTATATTAAAAAAAAGTAAATAAAAATAAATAATTTTTTTATAAATTTATAAAAAAAGGGAATGAAAACAGACAGGTAATAACGATCAGCGCCAATACGATGACGGAAACGGTGATGCGAAGGCACTCGATGGGGGTTCTGGCCCCCAACCCACGCCCCCCCTATGGCTTCGCTACTGGTTGTTTATTGGGCAAAATCTTATATTACGCACTTGCATCATGGATAAGTAATTATTTATTTTTTTATAAATTAACAAACTTATTTTGAAGGAATTAATATGAAAATAATTATATGGGCTTGGAAATTCAAGACAATGGGGTCTATTCTGTAACAATTCCTTTATATTTAACGGCCTTTAAAAATATTTTCTTCTTTACTTCTGTCATTATTTAAACGGATCTTTAAAATACATTAGAGGACTATCTTAAAGAAATCTGTTTAAATAATGACAGAAATAAATTAACGAATACGAACATATTTTTATAGGCCGCCAATATTTTTAAAGGCCGTTAAATATAAAAGAATTGTTACAGAATAGACCCCAATGACTGTCAAAATGAACCTAAAATATTAAAACTCAAACGACACATAACTTCGGTATTTTAACCAGTAAATTACAATAAAATTATACTTGAAAATATATTCATCCCTTCGTATTAAATAGCTAAATTACACATGTTAAAAAAACCAGTTAATTATATTATTCTTATATTATAATTTTTGTTCTATACAAAATTTTCCTAAAATGGTATTCGAGAGATTTGACAAAATGTAAAAAAAAAATTTTTGATGAAAATTGTTCAAATAAAAGTTGTTTGAGATATAATTCTCTATAATCCTCGTCCCTTACATAATTTCTTAAAAAGGGACCGTATTCGAGATATTTGAGAAAAAGTGTAAATTTCGAATTTTAGAAGAAAACTCAAAAACTGATAAAGAAAAAAACAATAAATTTTAAACTTAAACTTTATTCCGGCCTGGAGTGAATTGATGAAATTTTGGGAAGAGTCGGAACATCTGAGGGGGTACTTTATAGGAAGTCGTTTTTATATTTTATGGAATATATGTTATTTATGTTTGGAGAAGAAAATTCTTCAAATAAAAGTTACTTCCTATATTATTTTCTGTAATTTTTATCATATACAAAATTTTCCTAAAATGGGCCGTATTCGAGAAATTTGACAAAATGTGTAAAATTCCGATTTTTAAGAATAGTGTTAAACTAAAACTTGTTTGCGTTATCGATCTCTATAATTTCTATTCTTTACATGAACAATAATGGAAAAACTGAAGGAAAAGTGTAACATTTAAATTTTTCAGTATTTTTGTTTTCAATGAATGTAATATAAAAAAATGTTTCGAGTTAGATATATCTGGAAAATGTATATGTTAAGTTTATCCTTTAAACATTTACAGAGGTGTTCTTTATTTATTATAATATTAATTAAAAGAATTATTTTTAATAATTTGATGACAAATATTAACATACGCATCCAAAAGTCTTAAAGAATTTATTTTCCGAATACCTACTTAGGTAATTCATTTTTTCTGAAGGAAACTTACTTGAAATTCTCCTAGGTTGATGTTAGCATGTGGGATAACCAATGGGTTGATACTGGGTATAGCCATTTCTGGGACGCCATCTTTTTCTGCTAGTTTCGACCTCATGATTTCAATGTTTTCCAAAATACATTCTGAAACGTCTGTCTCTTTGGGTTTGCAAACTTTAATGAAAGATGCTGAAATTTAAAAATAGAAATTATTAGAATTGACTAATGTTAAAACAAGGAAAATCTTAAAATCTTTTTTATATTAGAGGCGGAGAAAATATTATTTCTTTAATCGCCACTTTGCATACCAAAATTGGGTTTAATTTAAGAAATTATTAACTAAATTATTATTATTGTATAAAAAAGATATAAAAAAACTAGTATTATAAAAATCTTACGTAATTTTCTAGCTACGGAGCATCCAGTTATACACAAAAGTACCACTAGGAATTTCATCTTGACTCAAACCAAATTTTTAATGTTAATTCTTAGACACTAGGTGAGTAACTATTGGAATAACCGAATTCGAGTGATTTTATATATTCCGAAACTTCTTTATAAATACGATAAAACTAATTAGGTAAAACTAGAAATAAAAAAGTTACTGATATAATAAATACGACGGGATGTTACTAACAAAAGAAAAAACTTATGGAAATGTCGCAATAAAAATAATTAAATCACTAAAAGCTCGACTGTATATTTATATTTGTTCTTCCTAAACAAATTCGCCGAAAATTAATCAAATAAATAAACTAAACGATCAACACAATAAAAGTTGCTCAAGCAAATAATAGGTAAATAATTTTTTTTTATAATTTCTTCTAAAACAATAGAATTAAAACCATACTAAATTTGATAAATAAAAAAAATATATTATGCAAATTAGAATTCCCCAAATTATTTTAGTAAACGTCACAATTCTAACCTTCAATAAATCGTTTTATTGTTTATTTATTCCAGAAGCGGTTCTTCTTAAATGATCCAAATACTTTTAATTCATTTTTTTTTTATTATTATTAATTTGCATTTAAATTTTTTTTCTTAGTATCTCTTAAGACGTGGTTTTATGTTTGTTTTATTATGTGTTGAAATTATAATTAATTATTATATTTGTATGGCTACAGAATATCCATAAAGATCCGGTTGGTGAATCGTTCGACTGGATTAATTTTAATTTAGTCTGGTAATTACATCGTACATATAAACGTGGACTACAAAATCAAAAATCATGTAAGTTATTTTTTTTTTAATATATTTTCTTCAAATTATTTTTGTTAATGTGTTCAGGTTACTTTTCGAGTCTAAATTCGTTAGAATAAAAAATTAAAACGTTTTTTTTTTGGTATAACACATTAGTGCGTTAATTGCTTGATAATACTTATTTTTATTTAAAACCTGTTTTTCTATTACACAAATTGAAATAATAAACTTTATTAACGATTCAAAATATTTATACCGAGAAGCAAACCACTGATCTAAATGTTATACACCTACATGCTTTTGGTATAAATCCTTATAAATCATCATACTTAAATCCTTGCAACGCGCATATTATAAATGTCCAAAACATAATTCTCCAAAGTTTTTAGTAAAAAGTTGGTTAAACCTTCACCTTTGTATCATTTATAGGAAGAAATGTTAAAAAACATATTTCTCATAAGTTTATTAAAACTACAAACATGACAGAAGAAGTTTACAAGTTTTTTGTAAAAGAAACTCTAATATTAGTCTCAAGAAACCCAAAGAAAGAAGTCTGAATATAGTTAAAGCATTTAGGAGCAAAGAAATCTAGTTATTTTTGTCGGCGCATACATTTCCAGTTTCAATTTTTTTTAAGATAGATGATACCGAAATATCTACTGTTCAAAAACCAGCAAAAATATTAGAATCCAAGGGACAAAAAAGTTGGAAGTTTGGAGAGAGATCAGAACATTAACTGAGTGCTGTGCCATAAGTGCATATGGGAATATATAGAGTGTCCCAATAGTGTGTGGAAGTTCGATATATTATATATATATTATAGAAAATATCAAACAATGTTATTTACAAAAGTTGTAGATAATATTAATCTGCACATTTCAAAATTATTCTCGATTATCCAGAGTGATCCATAACTTCAGAATTAATCAAACCTGTTTTTTTTTAATGGACCACCCTGTATTTAATTGTAAATTTGAATTCCCCTGACATTGCCCTTCAAGAAAATATCAACATGTATGAGGTTATACTGGGTATTTTGGAAGTTTAAACCAATTTTATATAAAAATCGTACTAGGTTCAACCCTCTGTATATTTCAAAAGAAACAATCGAACATCAAAATTTTTTGATGAGTCATTTTTAATGATAGTCTACTTTTATAAGAATATACTAATTTTTTCCTAGCGCAACAGACGTGTACAGGGTGAGTCAAAACTTAGATACATGATTTTCTTAATTTTTTTAAATGTAACACCCTGTATTTCATATCACTACTAAAAAGTACTCTAATTATACGTTCGTTTGAGTTAAATATTGCCTATCCCTAAACACAACAGTTTAGCGAGATTCTTAGATGAAATGTTAAAAAGGGTTAAAACGATTTTCAAAAAAGAATAGCTTTTTGTGAATGGGCAATAGAGAGCATTAATAATGAAAATGATTTTTTTGATTGTGTACTTTTTGGGGATGAATCAACATTTCACAAAAACGGTTTCGTCAAAAGACACAATTTTCATTACTATTCCACCACCAATCCTTATGAGTTAATGACCCATAGCCAAACACGATGGTCTATTAACGTTTGAAGTGGTATATTAGGGGACTATGTCATAGGACCACATTTCTCATGGTCGTGAAACTGCCGGGTCTACTTAGACTTTCTGCAGAATCATCTACCACTACTAGTGGAAAATGTTCCACTAATTTTTTTTTTTTTTTTTTTGAAATATAAGACGCCGAATGTGGATATTACATGACGGAGCTCCTGTACATCATGCTCAACCAGTTCGCAACTTTCTGAGCCATAATTTTGAAAACAGGTGGATCGGAAAAGATGGTCCAGTTATGTGGCCTCCTAGGTCTCCTGACCTCACTAAAGTAGATTTTTTTGTGGGGTTTCGTAAAAAACGAGGTTTATAAAACTAGTCCATTAACTAGCGAGGAAATGAAAGACAAGTGTTCGCGAGCATAGATGTACAATGTTTGAAAAACGTTCAAAGATCATTTGAAGCTATAGATTACAACATTGTATTGCAGTTGGAGGCAGTCACTTTGAGCAGCTTTTATAACAGCTTTTTTTTTTTCATTTTTTAATATACTAATGTTGTATTCTAAAAAAATTTAAATAACTTATTTTTGGCACATATTTTTTTCATTCAAATATAAAATATCTTCTAAACTGTTGTGTGTAGGGATAGGGACAAACGAACGTATAATTAAAGTACTTTTAGTAGAGATATGAAATACAGGGTGAACCTAACCTTAAAAGTAAAGAAAGTAAATTCAGTTGATAATAAATTGTAGCTAGGTACCTTAAAAATATAAACTGATAAGTATATTTTAACAGGAGTTTAAATCAAATTACATTGCGAATTTAGTTGTAATTAACCCTTTTTAACATTTCATCTAAGAATCTCGCTAAACTGTTATGTTTAGGGATAGGCAATATTTAACTCAAACGAACGTATAATTAGAGTACTTTTTAGTAGTGATATGAAATACAGGGTGTTACATTTAAAAAAATTAAGAAAATCATGTATCTAAGTTTTGACTCACCCTGTACACGTCTGTTGCGCTAGGAAAAAATTAGTATATTCTTATAAAAGTAGACTATCATTAAAAATGACTCATCAAAAAATTTTGATGTTCGATTGTTTCTTTTGAAATATACAGAGGGTTGAACCTAGTACGATTTTTATATAAAATTGGTTTAAACTTCCAAAATACCCAGTATAACCTCATACATGGTGATATTTTCTTGAAGGGCAATGTCAGGGGAATTCAAATTTACAATTAAATACAGGGTGGTCCATTTAAAAAAAAACATATGTTTGATTAATTCTGAAGTTATGGATCACTCTGTATAATCGAAAATAATTTTGAAATGTGCAGATTAATATTATCTACAACTTTTGTAAATAATATTGTTTGATATTTTCTATAATATAGGATATATCGAAATTCCACACACTATTGGGACACCCTGTATAATATCTCACCTATGTTTATATAGCCTCGAAAACGAATGGGTCCTCTCCTACAGGAGGATGAAACTTCTATAAATTGTTTTTTAACGTTTTAAAATCTATATAAATCCATCTAGGGAAGACCCAATTCTCATAATTTTTGAAAATCACGGTTCACTTATTTCGTTGGAGGCTTTTCAGTTTTGTAAGAAAAATTTCATTCTCGTTGTGTCGATTTCCCCTCACACGTGTCACAGGCTACATACAGCCTTTAAATTTTAATTTTAGATGTTTGCGGTATTTCCTCATTGACATTGCGGCATAACTCCGCTACTCTGGGGTAATACGGCCAGTTGCCCTTGTTTTTAATTCAGAGAATGTTCCCCTAAACAACAACTGCAAACTTTTTAAACATTTAAACTTTTTGTACAATGTGTCAATAAAATTGTTTACCGATTTTTCTTTTTCGCGTGGTTTTGTGCCTTCTTTCGCTTAAGGGTGGCGATATTTCCCCGGTCTCCCCTACATAGGGAAAAAAATTTTATTTGTCGTTTGGCAGTAAATATTTAAATAAATAAAAGTTTGTGCACGAAAAGTGAATAACTTTGACCTGTTCGAAATATGTGTTCAATATACAGGATGTTCTAAAAATAGAAAAGACGTTATAAGCTTTAAACAATAAAAAAACTTTTTCTTATATCTTTATTTTATGGACCATTCATTTCTTAGCAATTTCCACTATTGGAAAAAATGAATTTTTGACAATATTTAGCCCATATGAAGAAAAGTTATGTCCTTTTTAACAATCTAAAATTCTGCTGTAGATCCGAACAAATTTTGAATTTTTTCTTATTTTTCTATTTTCAAGAGCTGCATAGGTATTAAGCATAAATTTTAAATAGGTCATAATCGTATATTTTTCATGCAGAAATTTATACTTATTTAAACATTTCCTGCGTCACAACTCAATTATATTTTCAATTTTTAGATTTTTGTACTATTGTGTTTAAAAAAGCAGTATAATTATTTATCTATAAGATAGACACTAATCAACTGTGAATAGTTTGGCCAGAGAGCATTGTGACTGTTTGACACTTCCCGGAATAACATCACGTTTTTGTATGCAAGAATGTCACAAAAATAAAAAGTATCAAATTTGTTTTAATTTTATTAAAAGCTTTTCAGAAAGACTGACACAAACCATACAACGTTTTTGATCAAAAAGGTCAATATTTTTAAATATTTTATTTTATATGATAACGTTTTGAGTTGGGACAATTTTTGTTTAACTTTATTTTATTTCCATATGACTGGTTTTAATTTTTTCAATAAATGCTTATTTATTAAATAAGGGAAAATTAAAAAAAAATAATGTGTAATTAAAGCCATACTCATAATAGGAAAAGAGTGCTGTTCTAGAA